TTTAAAAATTGAAGTATGATAAGAAGTCTGCAACGTTGCAAACCGAGAGACGTGGTTTTGGAGTTTCATCATCGACATGTCAAAGTTATTTGTGAACCTTTTTCCGCTAATCACCGTCAATATATTTTCCGCGTTTTTGCGTGTGTTCTTCTTTTACCCCTTACTCAATCACATCAAAAGTGTACATTTATTTTAAGATACCCAGTGTTTCTCTCATCCGTTTCTGCCTTCTGAAGTGATTTCATGAATCTCCAAGTCTAATGACTGATTAAAAATTGAGAAAGTACTTTTTTCCTTTTAAAATGGCGCAAAAATTCAATCGACTCTTTGCATCTTTCAATATAAGCGTTCCGAGAAATGTATTCGTTCTGTGCTCACAAAAACTAATTCCTTACTCTTTTAAGATTATTGCCTTTAATTATAGCTCACTGCAGTGCCATATTTGATGCAGGGGGATTGTCGCAAGGTTGAATTTTTTTTTTTCTTTTGCTGACAAAAAACCGTGGTGCGTCCTATGTCATATGCTTTTCTCAAAGTAATGATTAGGATGTTTTAAGTTTTCCTATACTTTCAGTGACCCTTTCAACAACTTTCGAAGATCACGGAAAAATCACATTTTCATAATGATGCTCCTACTTTTCCGATCATGCATGTTTACTAACATGTCAACACCGGAAAAGCCAAACCCTTAAGAGTACATGCCTTTTATTATAAAATGGTCAACTTTCAAAAGTAGATTGGCGAGGTTCCAGGGGTTCTAGGGTTCTCAGGATGCAGACCCGATGTGCGTTAAGGAGAGTTGGAAATGTTATTACATTCAAAAAAATAAAGAATATTTAGATAAGAATATATTAATAAGAATTATTTAAGTAAATCAGTTATGGCTTGAGGAGCTGGGATATAAAATTTCTCGGATTTTTTGTTTTTGTTAAAACATACAAGATCACTTTTCCTGGAAATTTTCCACGTGCAAGCTCCTCTTCATTTTATATATTATATATTTTTTACATGCTTCAGATGTAATTGTATTCAAACGTAGGTTATTGAGACAAATTAGATCTTGAAACAGATGTCTGAAACAAGCCGTACCGTGCATGTCTTAGTATTCTTAACAAGCTGACTATATCTGTTCTATGACATTGAGAAATATTATTGAGCATGCAATAAATATGAGCACCAAAAGTCCTAATTATAATCCAGTAATACTTTTCAATGTCTTCCAGAAATGTCCCATGATTCACAGTTTGACTGAACTCGGACGATATCGTCGTAACAATATCAATTACTATGCTCCACGGCAATATTGTAATTCCCACTCCTGTAAGATTGTTAAGAAAAAACTTTTAATGAAATCCGATGAACCTAAATTGAGACCTTACGGAGTAAAGAAACAGATAAAAAAAACCCTGCTCGCATACAATTATAGTGTGGAAAAATACAAGTTACAGGAATAGATGTATTACTCGTTTTTAGAGGCCTCACTAGAGTATCGACTATGCATGCATGGGCGTACATCCTATCGGTAATTTAAGTGTATTCATTTTACGGATATGTATAATAATGAAGGAATAAATTATAAATCTTGTATTTTTACTGTATAATTTGCATGTACCAACCGACATATGCTTTTACGACCTAAAAAAACAATATGCTGTTTTAGCACCTAGGATGTCAAAAATGTGTCTGTTGATTCCAAGATGCTGTCATTGCTGCCCTTGCAGTTAACTTTACATCCTGTGAATGCTGATTCAACTGCGTGGGCAATCAAGGCAGCATCATAGGATCACCAGACACATTTTTGACATCCTAGGTGCTAAAACAGGATACCATTTTTTTTCTGTGTATGAATGAGATATACTCTGCCGTATGGGAAACAAGTGTTTACTGCGTCGTGATAGATATCAATGCATTTTTGAGGTTTGCTTAAAGTAAATAATTAAAATGAAATTCGGTGGAATGTCAAATGCTATGATAATTTAATTATGCTCCTTTATTGGAGAGACTGTCAGTGAATGCTAATTTAAATATGTATTTTTTCTTATTCTTAATTTGTTCCTAATGTTTTCATTAAAGTCCAATGATTTCGTATCGGCCGGTTCACAAGTGCATTTTTTTTAACTGTTTTTTGTAGCCTGGATATTCAAGATATTCTGTGCCACTGATTCCCCTACATCCAGTGTAAATCAGTGGCGTGGCGTAAATGATCGATTATCGATATCTCGCCATTTGATGCTATGGTAAAGAATCGATTACCAAGGTGTTCGCTACGAGCACCCTGATAATCGATCTTTTTTCATAGATTTGAGTGGCGTATCAATCGAGATATCGCAAAGCACGCCACGCCACTGGTGTAAATCTAGCGGAGTAAAATTTGCATTGATTAATCAGACCGAGGGAGTGCGGTTAGGAGGAAGAAAATCGCCGGAACCGCAAATCTGTAGACAAACAGAACGTAACAAGGAATCATCTAACTAGATTTAGAAATGAGAAAGCATCGGTGCTTTCGCAGAGAGAACAGCTGATTGAAAAGGGAACAACGCTCGAAACATTTCAGTGTCAGGTCGCGTGGAATAATCTCACACCGTCGACCTACATCTAGTGTTTTGAACCGAAGCTGAGGTCAAGAGCATCTTTTCTGAATATTTGTCGGTATGCATTCATGTATAATTTATGAAAGATTCATAAACTTGGAGCAGGAACACGTGCTCTTGGTTTGTTTTGGTCCCGAGGTATCGCCAACATCCTCAAAATGGCAATACCTGATGTCAAAGGTTCTGCGGTTTGTTAAGGACCTAGTCCCTCAGGGTCCCTTTGAGGTCTCAAAGAGGGTCGTGCCTGAGGAGCTTACCTGCATCCATATGATTGCTCTCATGATGGTTCTAAAATTTGAGAGGTATGTTTATTAAACTTCATTAAAAAGAAGAGTCTTGTGTAGCAAAGCTTCGCAATTGTTTAAGTATTTAATGAAACTGAGTACTAAACTAAAAATCAGTAACTAAAGACTACTTCAATGCGGTAGAAAAACCAGAAATTAATGGTAAAATTCTGTTCCTCTTTCCTTTGGGGTGGTCATGTATGGTGTCGTTTTTTATGGTTCTGTTATTTTACAGAAGTCTATTACAAGAATTTATGATAATTTCAAATTGAACTTATTTACTGAATTAATAGAAAACATTGCCTTTGTTTCAGTTCAAATCAGCTTCAACCCATTTTTTTCCATTTTGTTTGTTATCTTTTTAATTATTTCTGTCTGCACTTTTCTGATAAATTTAATAAAAAATGCATTTTAATTCTTTTTAGAAGAACAGTACTTAAAGGGACAAACTGTTGTGAAAAAGCACTAATCAATAAATTGACAAAAAATTGCTACTAATTTTGTAATGTTAATGAGAGTTGCATGATGAGTTGTGAAAATGAATCTGAATGAAATTGAATTTTATCCCTAATTCATAATTTATGATACATCTCAGGAATCATCATATCATTCCTGTTTTAGTTCTTCTCATTAGCCTTCGTCAGTGAGTTCATCCGCCGTTCAACGAGCCTTCAAACCGCGGACAACTTTAAAAAACTCCACGATATATGGACGTATTTGTGCCAAACGGAATTATGTGCACTAAGACATGGGCCCTTGTACTCATAAGAATATATGCATCACAGGGCTCACGTCATAATACACATAGTTCTGTTTGGCAGACATACGTTCATATTTGCACTTCTGGGATGGGTTTATTCAAAAACACGGTGGGAATCATGAAATAAGTTCGATGATATCGGAGAGCAAAAAATTAATTGCTGAGGTGATCGTAAGGCGCTCGGAATCCTCGCGCAACTTTGAATGAATTAAATCCAGACACCGGACAAAAAGCTCAAAGCGGGAAACGACTTAACCACTTCGTTTCCGTTATTGTTCCTACCACTTTCTCTGCGGATGGATTGCGGTGCCGCTGGATTCCGCGCAAAACGCTCGTGCCTCTTTGTCAAACGCGCGAACGACTCGTCATTTGGAATCAGGGAACGAGCTTTTACTCGTTTCGGAAACCGCGATAGCAAGTGTGTCACCCACTCAGGAGAACCTCGCTCCTTTTCGATTTACTGTCGGTCGATTGGGATAGTTGCGAATTCTAGTGCTGCTAAGAATCTATTATATTAACGGGTTTATATTCACGCCGACCCCCCCCCCCCCCCCCCCCCC